TTTCTTTCCCCACCACCCCGAATACCCTCTTTTATCTTCCAAACCTCAACCGAGGAGATAATTATAGAAAATCTAATAGGGAGGAATGTCTCTTATGAGAAATTAACAAAGAGACGTCAATGAACTTTTTATGAAAAATAGACAGTTGGAAATCCTCCAACCGCAATAGAGGCTTGTTGCCTTCTATACTAGACAATCTAGAAGGGTCACCTATAGGCACAACAATGACTCTACAGATCAAAAAAATGAAGTGAATCCCTTCCATCGGGAAGATTCTTGAGATGAAGGACCACTACGCCAAAGATTTGACATAATATATCAAAGAAGCAAGGATTCTAAAGTAAAGGCAAATTTATTAGACTTTCATAGTCTAGGGATCCGAAAGAATTCATCAAGTGGGTTCCAGACAGTGGAACTTATCTTTGAGTACCCGGACATCTCACTGGACATAATTGTAAAGCTAGACATCACTATCTTAAAGAATGATGCATATATGTGGTGAGAGAATATGATGCTTCTTTGATAGTGAGAACGAAAAACAAAATCACTACCTGATTTAAAGATGAAACGAGAGATGCAATGCAAGTACCTGACAGTTCATTGCAGATATGACATGTTTCGAGACTTCATCACCTGAAATAGCAAGATCTCTTACTAAAGGAGTATATAGTAGAGTTCAAGCATCTTATATTTAAATATGGGCTAGTGGACCGTAGCTTAATATCCTCAATTGACAATGTGGTGAAGTTGTCTTATCAGATTTATAAAATGTTCAAACCTAGCTCTAAAGGTGGAGGGGACATTTTCAAATGAACATCACATCTTACAAGTAGAGTTCAACCCTAGGATCAAGAAGCAAAGGTACACCCAATGAAATATCCAAGTCGAGCCCACCTAAGGAGAAATTAATTCAGAGTGGAGACCAGATGGAGCCAATAACATTCCCAAATTCATCTTAGCTAGAAAGTATTTCGAGTGCCATGGACTAGCATATTGAATCATATTGCTCAAGAAGAGCAATCTCTTTCACTGAGAAGGGAGCAATTGAAAAAATGAGCAACGATATAAGAAAGAAGGACTCCAAAGAGGAGTCTCAGTAGCCAGCTGATGAGGAAGAGACATCAGTGATTCAAACTAAGCACATAAAAGAGACACTTTGATGGATTAATATTGGTTGCTCTCAAATATAGTGAGTCTAATGAGCTAATACATGAAAAGGGCCAGCTCTTGTGGAAACAATTGCATGGCATCATGACCAAAAATTTACCTATAAGGTGGTTGCCACTAAAAGTTGTACAACATGACATAAATTACATTCCGAAGTTAGTTCCTCTAAAAAAAATTATTTATTGAATGCGCCCAAGGAGTACGAAAAGAGGAAGACGTAAAGTACATATTGAATGACTTGAGAATTAATTTATGATAATCAACATCTATATGCAGCTCCAACTCAAATTAGTCCAAAAGAGAATAGGTCCTTATTGTATTCAGATTTTCTTTGGAATGCCTTCAATATTTACTTCAAAAGTTTGCAATATTACACCACCCTCAATGTGATCTACTTAACGACGACGAGAAAAAAACTTTGACGGATGAGGTCGAAGCTCCCCCAAACCTAGTAGGTTGATGTGAGCGTACAACACGCATTCCATTTGCCTGCATTAGCCGAACCAATCAAGGTTTTCCTCTGCCTTAAGAGTGTTGGTCAATTCTTTTGGCTCACTCGTAGTTATCCTGTTATTATAAATTTACTTTTGTGTGGGAATCTATGATTAGTTTTTATTGTGAGTTTGTTCAGGAGAGTCCCAACTGCCCCTACAATCCTCCGTCGCAACCTTCCTGCTTTCCAGCTGCTCCGTTTTGTTGTCAGCCCTAAACTACGCCCAAAACTTCATTATCGTCCAATTAAACGATATTTGAACCCGCAAACACTACAGCTGCGTATAAGACAATCCTGCTTAATCGCGACGCCTGGAACACATGTAATAAAAACAAATAACACAAAAAGATCAGCGAAATATTAGACTCCGTAAGGCTCTAATACCAATCTAAATGGTAGATCTTTGCTCTTTCATTCTTGTGTACTTTTAAGTTGTATCATCTATTTTCCTTCTATTTTCCTGTTAATCAATAAGAGAACGAACTAGAGCGTGTAATAAAAAGTCATATTGATTTCCTGTTAGTTAGTATGAAATAAAGTTATTGTTAGTTTCATGAAGATTTATCTAGTTGCTTAAATTAGTGTTTCAAACATGGCTTTTTATTCAGGAGAAACAAAAAATATGGAATATTATTCTTGCAATGCTAAGTAATTTTATGTCAATCAATTCAATTTTCCTTTTTTTGTTCTTGTTTTTGCATAATTATTCTTCTTCAATAAAAATCTATCGTAATTTAGGAAGTGGTACTAACTTGAGGAAAAATTAGTTTAGTTGCAGGACGAGGAATAATATTTTATTTTAAAGAAAGGAAAGATTTAGATGCATACTACTCAATTCTCAAGTATTTACATATATAACAAGCTGAAAAAGATGGTCATAGAAATTGCAATGGGACGAACAACTTGGCTAAGCAAACCAAAAGCCTGCCTTGTTGGCCCGAGGTTAAGCTTTTTGCAAAGCTTCTGTTTATCGGACACGTCTTCAACCTCTTTGATAGTTAAGTCTAATATCTTTATCATTTCATCCTTGCCATACATAGTATTCTTTAGCAGCTCTTTCAGGGACAAACTTCGCTGTGCAACTTTAGTGCTTTTACTAAGCACTAAATTAGTTTAACTCTTGCAATCGCTTGGACTGAGAAATATAAAAACTATGTAAGAAATGAGTAAGGAGAGATTCTTGAGAGAAAGAAATGCTTCACTTGTTGGGCTGTAGAGTCTAAGCACAAGGCACCCGACGCATATGCATCGGGTTGTGAGCGCTTAAGCGCTCATTTAGGTTTTGCCCGAACAAAGGAGCCGGCGCCTAGGCGTCGGCTTTGAGCACATATGTGCTTGCTATAGAGCGAATGCTGTTCTTATTACTGAGAGCTATGCATCGGTCTATTGGCGCCTAGGCGCCCATTATGGGGTGCCAATGCAGAGCGCTTGGTGCTTAGGCGCAAAGTTTGGGCGCCTAAGCGTCATGTGCGGTTACCATATAAAAAACTGGTTTTTAAGCTAATTTTTGAAGGTGGAATGGTGAACTTGTTGTTTTCTTTTTTCTGAATTCTTTGACAAGCATCCCGATACAGGTGCAGAGCGTCGAAAAGGTGAATTTTGGTGCTTCGATATGATTTTTTGCATCAGATTGGAGATGAAAGATTGTTGGTGCAAATCTTATAAATTTCTTCGTGTGAATGTAAAGAAGAAACTTGTATGAGTCATTGTAAAACTTTCTGAATTTCATAGTAAAATTTTTAGTGGTGTGACAGATGATTTTTTCCCATTTTTGGGTTCTTCCAGGTAAAATTCTTGTGTGCTTTTCTGATTGTTTTGACTGTGCTTCTTTGTTTAAATTTTTGTTCCAATTTTCTCGAATCTAAAAGGTGACTCTTTCACAATAGTTTTCCCTTACATCACTAAGAAAGAAATGATTATACACCTTGGTTGCTTTGAAACCTTGGTTACAAATCAGGTGGAAGGACCTCTATTTATATTACTACTTCAAGTCCTAAAGAATATTCCAGATTACATTAAAATATTTTATCTTCTAGATGATCGTTCATTATTGTTTACACATTCATGATTCTAGAGCCTTCTAAAAGATTCTAGAGTTCTCTTGAAGCTTGCTATTTCCGCATATTTCAGAAATGATGTAGAACATTCTAGAATTCTTTAGATTATTCTCTTTCTTTCTAGTCTTTTCTAGAATCTTCTTTCCCGTGGCTAAAGGGATGTGGCTCGTCATTTCTTGAGATGGCGGTGCGCGATAATCTCCCCCACCTAAACTCGCAAATCCCTCATTGCGCTTTTCTGCTGATACTATTGGATATTTTCTTTTCCACAATGTGTCCTCATGTTCTGAGCTAGCTTCACTATCAAGTAGTCATTTCCACTTAATGAGATACCTCACATTAGTGTCACGTACCGTCATCTCAAGAAAGAAGCCACATCGCTTTAGTCATGGAAAAAAAGATTCTAGAAAAAAAAACTAGAAAGAAGAATAATAATCTAAGAAATTCTAGATGGTTATACATTATTCCTTATATATACATTATTCTAGAGCTTTCTAGAATATTTTAAAGGTCACTTGAAGCTTGTCTTTTTCAGTATATTTCTGAAATGAAGTGGAACATTCTAGAATTCCTTAGATTATTCTCATTCTTTCTATTTTTTTCTAGAATTTTCTTTTCCATAATTAAAAGAATGTGGCTCATCCTTTCTTGAGATGACGGTGCATGACACATGGTTGTGATTCTATAAATGAGAAGATGGCACATCTCTTAGTTGGCCCACTTGGATTAGGGGAAAGAGGACCAAATCGCTAAGAGTGAGATTGGAGACCATAAAAGCGTGCCATTTAATTCTCATTGCAGAAGAAAAGACTTGCATCTTATCTTACGGAATCAGGAAAAGTAAGTTGCAGTGAAGCCATGCATTTACTAAAAGGTTTGATATAGTATAAAGAGGGTGATTGCCATTCAGGTGATGGGGATGATAATAGGAAGCAAAAGAAAATAGTGAGCGTTTCAAATTCCTATTCATCTAAATCCTAGCAGAGGAGAATATGGTTGGCGGGGACATAAATTCCGAGGCAAAGGTTGATAGGTGAAACTGTGAAAGATAATGTTAAAGATGGATGATGTGAAAGAATTTGGCATGTAACTCCCCAGTCTAAAGCTTTGAACCAGAAAGTCATAGAACTCGGCATAGCTGTGCTTAACAACAGCCATGATGCTATGTCACAATTTTATGTCATGTCTATTTTCCGAGTATAAAATCGTCTACAAGTTGAGCTTTCATTTCATTGTATAATCTGATACCATTAGCGAGGACATTGTCTGAACTTCGCTATGAAAAAAAGAAAAGAAATGGCATTGCTTGTTTGTTTAAAATTTCATGAATATAGATAAAAAAGCTATACAAGTCAAATTTTAGTCATCTTACTATAGACAAACTTCAGAAAAAGGAAATCAAAATGTAAACCTACCCTCATTATAACTCTCTTTAAGATTTTCCAAAGCCCTTCTTATATCATCCTCGCCTTGGTTGGAATATTTCAAGCAAACCAGCCTTTGGGCAACCCTGTACGCCATTTGCAAAGGGTGATACTCCTCACAGTTGTTCGTCATCTTCTTTGAATCCTATCAACAAGATTAAAATGCAATGTTAATCAATCAGCCTTTTAGCAAAAGGAATGGTCACAAAATCTTTCTAAGGTTTTCAATATCAGACGGGAGTCCATTTTCAGTAAATTGTATTTAATAAAAGTTGGCAGTAATTGATACTTAACAAAACGTTGATTTTGTCTTTGCCGCTCCACCAAAATGGACAATGTGCTCTGCAAGTGTGCTGCTCGTAATAATCAATCCAATATAGAGCTTTTCAACGCACATGCTCATCATGAATAAAAATTGTGATATCATTGGCCAAAATAACTGGTGCAAGAAGGCCTAAAATCAAAATGAATGGATGATGCCTTCGGAGCGTCAATGGATTTAAGGCGAACTAGTCCCTTGGTTGAAAGAAATGGAAACTCTAGCTTAGTTTACTGGATATGATGGGCATTTCCAACAAGCTAGAGAAATCAACTCTATTATGAAAGCCAGAAGGGTCCTACTTTAGTTAAATCCCAAGAGTGAGAGCTCCAAACTGATGTCCCGCTTTACAAGAAGTCAAAATGAGTAATGAAAACCTCATATGGTAGGGTTGAATAGAAAGAACCTTTTATCATGCTTGAAACTGTTATTGCCACAAATGTTTGATAGACAATAAACTGTAATTATTGAAATTTTTTTTTAAATAATAATAATAACAATAAATCGAATCGGTCGGATCGAATGGCCGTCTCGATGATTTCACTTAGGCAGGCTAGTGTCTCACTTGTTTTGGAATTGCAAAACAGATTGAGAGAGCGAGTGGGAGACAGAGGAAGGAGAGGAAGAAACGACAATGGAGAAAGAAGAGAAAGGAAGAGTAGCGTGCGTGCCATAGCCGACCGATGGAGATGAATAAGGAAGGAAAAGAGGAGGCTTTGCTTACGGGACATGTGGAAGAGGAGTTGTGCCCTAGTGGAACAAAGTGGATGAAGGAAAAAAGATGAAAGAGGAAGACTTGTGTGCGTCTCAAGCAAGCATCCGTTCTCTTGGAAGGAAAATTTGACAATACTAGGTGTGGAAAGCTTCGGCTTCGAGTATGGATGTTGTGAGAGAAAGGATAATGCCACTTGCATGAAGAAAAAGAGGAAGGAGGGAGGAGAAATACGGTAATGGAGTCGAACCAAGCGCTCGACAAAAGAAAGGAAGGCGGCTTCATGCGTCGTTATTGTGCAAAGAAGTAGAGGATGATGAGCTCGAGTCCTATCAAAGGAGAAGAAGCTTCCAACGTGCGAGAAGAAGGAGATCAAAACAAGCAAAGGATAAAGGTGTATTAGGTTTTTCTCAGGTTATTTAATAAATTTAAAATATATATGTTTGTATGCTTATTTATTTAATGTTAATAGAATGTCTAACTAAATTAGGACTCCAAATATAGAAATTTGAGCTTGGAAGAAGTAGGTGAAGTGTGCGAGTCAAGGGATGAGGGAGACCGACTCGAGCAAATTTTGAGGATATCTTTGGGTATAATGGTAATCCTGATACGACTTCTTAAAAAGATTAAAAATGGTAATTACTTAAATTGAAAGAGAAATGGATAATTCTAAAAAAAATAAATGTTTACAGTTTGATTTAGCAGTAGACTGAATATTCTTGGGACATTCAAGCTTAGCATTAGCAAAGTCATTTAATGCATAATAAGATTGTAACTACCCACTAAATCGGTAAAATTATTATTGAATTTAACTATTTCTTCCAGAAAAAAATTGTATATTGATATATCTAACATAAAAGATTTAGTTTATACGAGAATGATTATTACATAGGTATTATGCTGTGTTGTGATTGTGGTTTTCATTTTATATTGATTTCTTCAAGTTGACGATATATTGTTATGTTGGATGACAGGTTGCCTGCAGACAATGTTGTTATTATTGGATGATTTAAATTTTCATTTAGAATATTTTGTGATTTCTTAATGGCTCTTTTATAAATTGAAAGTTATGAAGATCTGTGGAAAATAAATTAATGATAATATCGTCCGACCGTAACTCCTGACTTAGTTAATTCGAAGCTACCAGGCCGGGTCGTGACAAAAGAGATATCAGAAAAAAAGATTAGATCATATTCAAATAGAGTCATTAGGTTAATTAAATTAAATCATAAATAATATTAATGAAGGGATAAGTTGTGTCTAATTATAATCTTTCTTATGTTATTTCCAAAATATGAAAAATTAAGGGGAAGAAGTTAGAGATGATGTGGTAAAAATTGATGCATCTCCACATATTACTGTGAATGCAGATCCTTTTCCTGAGAAGATAACTGCAATAACTCACATGATTAAGAGCTCTCAAACTTGGGCCAATCATAGTGAGGGAGGCCAGATGAACAAATATTTGAAACTATTTTAGAATATGAGGTTGCCTCTCTTTTTGGAGGATAAATTCTAGTGAATGCTGCAAACTAACTGCTAAAAGTGAAAAATATTTTAGATGGGTTGCCTTGTCCCTTAGAGTGGATGGTTACACCGACTGTTTTTGCGTTAAAGCGAGAAACAAAGAGATGACGACGAGGAAAGTTGCAGGAAAGATTTGGGAGTAAAGCCAAACACATGAAATAGTGAGATGAGTTTGTGAACGCTAAAGACTGGTTCGTACCACTTTCATCTAGAAGAAAAATCAAGGAAAAATTCATTAAATTAATGCAAGTAGATTAATCTATTATGTAGTATGAAACAAAATTCACTAAGCTTTCAAGGAATGTGCTGTCAAACCCCAACAAACCCCTCTTTAAGGGTCTGCTGAGATGCGACAGAGGCAGACAATTCAGCCAGACTAATTTCTCACCAATACTCATACTGACTTGCAAAATTAAAACCCAGTGAGTGACGAATTAGTCTAACTAAATTGCTATAAACATACGTGATACATTGCATTTCATAATTCATTTATATTTATACTCGGAAGCGTGGAAAAACATATCCTCAAAACATACAAATTATATAAAGCTAGCAAATAAAAAATAATAACCGTACGAATCCAAAATATCTATACAAGCTCTCAAAAATATATAGTGCAAAAGTTGTAAAAATCATAACAGACCACTCACCCAGATGTTTGTTGCCATTAATTGAAAGGTAACAACGTAGAGTGAGCAACAACGAGCTCAATGAAATAGTCAATGCTAAAATAAAAATTTATACGTGAAAATAAAATAACATACATGCTAAAGTCACTTTATGTCTACACATAAATCTTAATATGTTAGATTTGTAGAGAACATGAAAAGAAAAACCTGTAGTGTATAAATCAAGACCGTTGTATAAGCTTGTATATCATAAACATGAAATCAAAAGTATAATAAAAATATGTTCATAGGCATGTTCATAAGCTATTGTATCGTATGTAATCATAACAATGTCATTTTATAGATGTCATTTCATAATAATGTCACTCGTAAATGTATAGGCTTCAACTATTTCCATGTTTGTTTATCATTGACCATCACTCTGCCCCAAATGCATATAAACTATCGATAATAGTTGGTCTCTCCAACATAACAATTATCAATAGCCCCCTGATACCAACAGTTCCCTACATTCTGTCACCGCTTGATCAAAATAGTTCCAGAATTTTGCAACTGCCTAAATACTAGAAGTTGAGAATACTACATCTCTACAAAACATACTTGCAAACTCTCATGTAATACTCTACTCATAACATTACTCGTGACATTTCTTAGCATAATACATGTCGGAAATATTTATAGGCATTTCACACATCGCATGTGTGAATCATAACAAATGAATAGATGCAGACAGTTAGTTCATAAACATAATCACATGTATTATAGCATAATAGCATCATATATATTGTAAAATAAATCAACCGACATTCATACATATGAATATATGTTAAATAATTGAAAGTGATGATTGTAACTAAAAATGTGCATAACCCTACACCTGTTTGATTTATTATTATTATCATTATCATTATTATTATTATTATTATTATTTTTTTATATAGTCATTACTCTTTTATTTCTGTTATTACAATCTCTCCTTAAAACAATTTTATCCATGTGAAAATAATTATGAAAGTAAACATACCTCGAATGAAAAACTGTGGATATATATCTTACATCTCAAAGACTTTCTCCCGAGTAGCATCCTTCTCCGACTCATAGTTCCATAAAAACATCATGGAAGAGATATCTCTGTTCAGTAGCTTATTCACATCATAATCCAAAATAATTTTAGGCTCAATATAAGTCAAATCTGGCTGAATATTAATTAAGTCTACTATCATCCCATAAGTTTCATCTACAATATATTTTCTAGGTGAAGAAATATGGAAAAAATTATGCACTCCCACCATATGAGTAGGTAAAGTTAATCTGTAAGCGATATTTTCAATCCTATCTACAATCTTATGGGGCCCGACATATCTATGGCTCAATTTTCTTGTCTTCCCAAAATGTTGCACACCATTCAATAGATTGATCTTGATAAAAACAAACTCTCCAACCTCAAACTCAACAGATCTGTGCTTAACATCATAATATTTTTTGTCTATCCTGCACTACGTTTAGTCTGTCTCTGATCAATCTAATCTTCTCATTAGCATAATCAACCAAGTTAGCTCCAATGACCTTTCTTTCACCTATTTTCGTCTAACATTATCATGTCATGTTTCCTTCCAAACAAGGCTTCATATGAAGTCATTTCAATGCTAGCCTAGTAACTGTTATTATAAGCAAAGTCTACTAAAGATATATGTGATCCTCCATCAAAATCAACGACAAATAACCTTATTTGATCCTCAACAGTCTGAATATTCCTTTTTGACCTGTCATCTGTCAGAGTGTGAAATGTTGTACTGAAAGTCAACCGACTGCCTAAAGTTTTTTGAACCTTCTTCCACAATTTGGAAGTAAATCTGTCATCTCTATCGGAGACAATAGACTTGGACACTCCATGCAATCTCACAATTTGATCCACATATAATTTGACTAATCTCTCCACTAGATTTGTCTGTTCGATG